AACACTGAACTCCAAACCTCCTTTCCCCATTTGGCAGACTCCTATTCATCCTTCAACACCCATCTCAAAGGTCATCTCCACTGTGAACTCATCCTCAACCTCTGACCCACTTTCCACCTCTCCACTAAGAAAGTAAAGAAGACTCAAATATGGGGTTAAAGAATTGACACACAGCAGAAGGTAACACAAAGGGAGACATGGAGAAGCTATAAAATGGGCTTTCCCCACAGAGGAGGAATTAGAACCTCTTGGAAAAGTTACCCTATTGCTGCTTGAAAAATCACTTAAATAAAAACACTGATCCCATTTGACCAGAATCTAATAAAATGGAGTTTTAAAAGACCAAATATAGAGAAAAAAGTGCAGAATTCGAAAGATAGATTAGAAAACAGTTGGCAGTCGGAGGGGGAGATGAACCATGAGAGGCGATGGACTCTGAAAAACGAACTGAGGGTTCTAGAGGGGAGGGGGGTGGGGGGATGGGTTAGCCTGGTGATGGGTATTAAAGAGGGCACGTTCTGCGTGGAGCACTGGGTGTTATGCACAAACAATGAGTCGTGGAACACAAAGTCGAAAACTAATGGTGTAATGCATGGTGATTAACATAATAATAAAAAAAAATTTTAAAAAACAGTTGCCATGAAAATACCCAGGGATTCAAGTGGGGAGCTCAGAGGGGGCCAACCAGGTGATGAGACTAAGGTCAAAAAGGCAAACACCTGCACAGGTTTCATTATCAGAAAGAATGTGGCTAGAGAGCCCTGCTCTACTTGTAGTTGGTCACATCTTCCTGGAGTATTCTGAATGGTTCCGAATATTAACTTGTGCAGGCTGGGGAAGCCTGGGACATGACCTAGGTGGGGGGAAAACACAAAGCCACATCACAGAGGAAAACTGAAGAGACCTGGAATATTTACCCAGAGGTGGGGAAGACCTGGTTGGGGGGGGTCATGATTTCTGTCCTCAAGCAACAGACAAGTTTCCATGTGGATTAATCTGTGTGGCCTTCAGGATGGGACCAGGACCATGAGTGTCAACACTGAGATTTCATCCCCACACTAGGGAGAATTTTCTGTTGATCATGATTGTCCCCAAATGGAATGAGCCATCCTGAGAGGTAATGAAGACCCTTTATGAGGGACATCTAGCAGAGGGAGAACAACTACAGAGGATGATAAAGGGACTGGAACAGAGGCCTGGTGGACATCTATTGTTTTATTTCTCCCTTCTTTTTTTTTTTAAGAGAGGGAGACGGAGCAAAAACAAGAGCAAGTGGCGGGGGGCGGGGGGGAGGTGGGGCAGAGGGAGAGAGAGACTCTTAAGCAGAGCCCGATGCAGGGCTCGATCTCACAACCCTGAGATCATGACCTGAGTCAAAATCAAGAGTCGGATGCTTAATTTACTGAACCACCCAGGCTCCCCTCTCCCTTCTTCTTGTAAGAGGACTCCATGGGTTGGGTGGAGCTGAATGCACACCCGGCTTCAGGGGTGGGGATGTTTCCAGGCCTGGTCAGTCAGAGCACTGCATCTCACCGGCCGCTGGTGCAGCTTCAGGAGAGTGAGCCCATACTGGGCAGTCAGAGCCCAGAAGACTCCATTCCGGGAGAAGGGCGCTCTCACTTTCCACGGGACTTGAAGCAGGTGGGATGTGAGCCCAGAGCTGCAGGGGGCCATGTGGTTGTCACATGGAGAGAGACTAAGAGAGAGCCCTTCACCGCACGCCGAAAAAATGTTAGAAAACAGAGAAAATTGGAGCAGAGTTGCAGAGAGATGGAGTTCTTTTGTGCCCCTGAAGCCAGCCAAGCCTGGAGGTAAGTCCCTTTCCTCCTGCGAGCCAGCTGAGATGGGTTTCTGTTGTTGGCCACCAGAAAAGCCCTGACCACTAGGATGGCCTCTAAGGTCTCAGCCAGTTCCTTTTGCTCCGACAAATCTTTATCTGACACTTAAAGCAAGGGCCACCCGCCCACAAGAATCGTGGGACAGCTTGCGGAATTTGAAGTGCTGCCTCCAGTCGTCCGAAGAGACTGCACTGCGAGAGGGGAACTGGAGACTCGTGAGGAGGAAAGTTATTAAGTCAAAGAGCATCCTGAGTCAGGGAGAAGTTGGCAGACAGAGCCTCTGCCCCAGACCCAAGCCCAGGAAGGACACCTGGCCTGGAAACTACTCTCACCCCCTGCAGATGCATGGGCAGAGCGTGACTTGGTGGGATGGTGAAGGAACAGCCACCCGAGTGCTACCACCACGCTCAGGAATGGGGAGGGGGTCCCATTCTTCGGGATCAAGATTGAGCCACCATTCAATGAGTACCTGCTGGATGCCAGGGCTGAGCCAGACACTTGGCCTGCCTCGGCTCTTCCAAGCAGCCCCCTGAAGTGGGCGCTGAAGTAGGCAAACGTGGAGGCTCAGAGACTTGCCCAGGTTCACGAGTCAGTGAGGGGCAGTTCTGGGACAAACTCCCAAAGCCCAGCCATACTAGGCTCCTGCTGGTGGCGACCACAGGCCAAAAGTGGACAAGTCTAGGTTCTCCTGCAGGTTTGCAGGCTGGACCTCCTCATCTGTAGAATGGGGTGACTGACGATACCCTCCCCAGTCTGACCAGAGGCTGGCCTCCCCGTTGTTCCGAGGTCTGCGGGATCTATTAGTACAGAAGGAGTGCAGCCTCCGTGCCGAGATTATCTCTAACTGATGTGACACAAAGGGCCCGCACTGTGCTAAATCAGCCAGCCAGGCCCATGCCCAGCTCTCTCCTGGCCCACAGGGGCCAGGTCGCTTCCTTTGTTCCACCGGCCCCGGCCTGGTAACAAGGCAGCCAGAAGCTCAGCTGTCGACCTTGTTTCATTATTTTCTACCCTGTTAACCTCCATCACCAGTGACGCTGCTGTCAGCCTAAATGAGAACTGAAAAGATTGATCTCTCTTGTCCCAGGGCTCAGTCAGGAAAAAGACCCTTCATTTCCTAACGGCCCTGATGACCCTTTCTCTGCGAGTCCCTCCCACCCAGGACAAAGATGTGACAGTAGCAGCAGGCGGGGGCTTGGGGCCAGAGCGAGTGATCGGGATCACCTCAACCTGGCTTTGCAAAGCGCCGTGGTTTTTTCCTTTATTGCCCTGTATTTACCTCCCTAATTATGTTTGCTTACACAAATATTCAACTTGGACGACGTTTCATAAACACAGCCCCAGGAGGGGACCAGCGCATATTGTGCCGTGGGAGGGAATGAGCCTGTGATTACAGTTCCGCTGCAGAAGTCGTCCTCCAAGCGGACAGTCCAAATACAGACCACAGACAGATTATTATATTTCAAATCAACTTGTCCTAATAACCATGCTTCTAGCAATCCCGGGTCACCTAATCCCTAAAATCGGCGCCCGGCAAGAACAGACGAGCTCGACAATTTTATTTTATTTATTTTTTAAAGATTTTATTTATTTATTTGACAGAGAGAGAGAGACAGCAAGAGAGGGAGCACAAGCAGCGGGAGTGGGCAGAGGGAGAAGCAGGCTTCCAGCCGAGCAGGGAGCCCGATGTGGGGCTCCATCCCAGGACCCCGGGATCATGACCTGAGTCGAAGGCAGACGCCCAACGACTGAGCCACCCAGGCGCCCCTCGATAATTTCAGTAGTAACACTCTTATGGACTGGTTGGTACAATGGTAGCTAGCTTTCCTGAACACTCACTCTCGGTGCCTTACTTGGGGTCAACACCCTCTTAATCCTCCCCACTGCCCTGTGGGTCTTTTTATCCTCATCTCACAAATGAAGAAACTGAGGCACAGAGTTAAAGTAACAACGCCCAAAGACACACAGCTGATAAATGGTGGAACCAGGATCATGAATCCAGAAATTTAAGAACTCAGAACTCTGGACCCAGAGACCACACCCTGAGCCACTCCCTCAATAATATACGTGTTCCTCCTTCACACGCGCAGTTTCCTTTAACCTTCACACTGCCCCTGGGAAGTAGTTGATCTTAACTCCTTTTGATCAACACAGAAGATGAGGCTCACAGAGGCTAGAGGACTAGCCCATTTTACAGAGGAGGAAACCGAAGTCCGTAGAGGTGAGTTCAGTTCTACAAACATTTCCACAGCATCTACTGTTTGCCAGGCACTGTGCAAGGAACTTGGGAAACAGAGACCTCAGGGCACATATAAGTGACTGCTCCCTGCACACTTGACTTCTGGGCATTTATATGGGTAAAACCTTCTGAAAACAACCAAGCACTTTGTTAAAAGCCTAAAAAATGGGCAAACTTTTGACCCAAAAATTCTTGTTGCAGAAAACAACCATAGAATAATAGCAGTGAATGTGACAAAAGTATATATACAAAGCAGCTCACCACAGCGTTTTAGAAGAGTAAAATAATGGAAATAACTTAAGTGTTCAACAATAAAAGATTGGTTAAATAAATTAGGGTCAGCTCTATCATGAAATACTATGGAATCATTAAAAAAAATGGCACAGAAATAAATTTATTGACCTGGGAAAATTTCGTAATGCAGTGTTACATAATTTATTAGGTGAATAAGCAGACAGGAAAATCATATATGCAGTCTCCTCTCATTTGGGAAATGTACACTGGAAAATGTACACACATATGAGAACTTACAGAAAATGGATTTGCCTATGTTTGTATAAAGAAATCCCTATGGCACCAAAGTGATTATTGCAGTGATAACATTCCCAGGGATTTTAATTTTTGTGTGTGTGCTCATATCCATTTTTCCAAATTTCCTACAATGAACATGTGATACTTGCCAACCATGCAGAAATTTTTATTTTTGTGCGGGTGGTGGCTGAAGTGGCTGAGGGCACCAGCCATATCTAGGATTCAGACTCAGGGTCTGGGACACCACATCCAGCCCTCGGCCCCGGCACCCTTCAACACACCTGCCCTCCTGGTCCCATGCCCCCAAACCAAATCCCACCCTGGCTGGCCATTTTGTAATGCTCAGCTTGGGGCAGAGATATCTGAGCAGGTGGAGTGGCCCCCTTGCCCACCTTTTTGAAGAGTCTGATGACATCCTCGCTGATCTGTGAGAGGCGGACGATGACATTGTTCATGAAGATGTCATTGAGGGTGGCATGATCTCGACTCTCCCGCCTGGTCTGATGCAGGACCAGATACCAACAGTTCACAGGCGAGAGGAGGTACTGGTCCTTCCTGTGGAAACCAAGGCAGCTCAGGTTGGCTTCATTGGAACTGTCATCCACACAGTGTTCTGCATTGTCATCCACTGTAGCTCTTTTGACCCTCATGGGGCCCTTTCAAGCTCAGTTTCCTTAGAACACATTTACAGCTAGTGAAGCGATCCCCCCTAAGGTCCCAGAGCAGCGCTGGGGCCAACTCCAGGTCTTTCGGCTCTAAGGCCTAACGCATTCTCCTCTCCCCACTGCATGTGGCAGCTGCTATGTGCATCACTCCCTTCTGGGCAGAAGCTGACTTCCCTGGGGCTAAGAAATACTCAACCAATTGTGTTTGAAATACTCGTATTAGTTCTAAAACCATGCAGTGGGAAAACAAAAAGTGGACCCCTCCTTTTCCCTTCCCTGCCTCCCCCAACCCCTTTGTCCTCTCCCAGGGCCAGCTTCTGTCTTGGCCTCTTGGAAACATATGTCTTTATCTCTCAATGGAACTGGGGGCTTGGAGGGTTTCAGGTTCTGTATTTGGGATGATGTTAACCCATCTTCCCAAATGGGATGCTTGGGTAAAGTACATATAAGACAAATAAACCTTTCTCCTGTAACAACTGAGAGATTCTTAGCATCCTCTAAGATGGGTGTTATGCTAAAACAGGGGTTCTCAAAGTGTGGTCCTCAGACCAGCAGCAACATCACCAGAAATCTTGATAGAAATGCAGATTCTCCAGCCCCACTCCAGACCTGCTGAATCAGAAACTCTAGAGGTGGTAGTCTGGGTTCCAACACGCCCTCTAAGGGATTCTGATTCACACTAAAGTTGAGAACCACAGATCTACCTAGCATACTTTCCCAAGGCTTGAGAAATGGGATGTTTCCGAAAAATGAAACGAGAGACTATCCCTCTCTTATCTATGCTTTCCCAAAGGCCCCTCTTTTATCCCCAGTAAAGGGTATATACATCCTATTCTCCAGGAAGAAAGAGGGAAGGGTAATTAGAAACCACAATCAAACCCAGAATCTCACGTTGCCACAGGTGGTGGTATGCTGTGTCCCTGCCCTCGGACCCTGGTTCTGCCCTCACTCCGCTTCCCAGGGTGGGAAGGAGAGAGTGGAGAGGCGGGGTGTGGAGGACAGGACCTCCTGAGGGTGGTGGTCTCCAAAGTCCCTCCCAGACCTGCATTGCTCCCCTCGTGCCCCCAGGGTGGGCCACCTCCAAAAGCTGACCACGGACGTGCTCAGCCACCCACTAGCAGCGCTTTTGAGGAAGGGAATTCTGCTGACTCTCACTGTGACCACATCATCCTCCCACAGCCAAAGGGATGTGCTGGGGGGGTGCAGCCCTGACAGCCTCTGGGCATCCGTAGCACCGCCATGCCCCACATCCCACCCCAATTCCTGAGCTTGGGAAGGACAGGTGAGGGGGCGCCTTCTGATTTACAGGAATTTTCTTGCTGTCACCAAATGAGCTAAAAATCTATCTAGGTAGCAGGAACCGGGGAGAAGGGAATTTTGTTTAGAGGATGGTTATGGTGGAAGATGCCTAAAGAAAAGGGAAGGGACAGGCTGCCAAAGAAAAAATGAACAAATTGCTCCTTGCCTATAGCCTAGAGAAAAAGCTAGAACATGAAAATTCAACCACCCCGCCCAAATCCCTCAGCATTTCTTCTGTCAGGTCTCAGGTGGGCTATGGGTGGCAGTGACACCGATGTGCCTTGGAGGGGCTCCTTCCCAAGTGGCTGAGGCAGAAGGAAGGATTACAGTGGAAGGTGGTAAAGTGCTATAATAGAGACACATGCAGAGCGTCCGTTCTGCTTGAGAAGTTGGAGAAGGCACCGCTCTCCTCCTGTGCTCTCCACATCCCAGGGACACAGGCCCCTTTCCTTTGTGCCAGGTTCCCTCCTGCCTGGGGCCCTCACACATGCTGTTCCCTCCATCTAGAATCCATGAGCCCCAGCCCTTCTCATGACTGCCTCCTTCTCTTCTGTTTTCTCTTCTCTTTTCTCGGTCTCACCTTCAATGATACCTCCACAGACAGAATGCCTGTGACCGCACACTAAGGCGTGGGTCCTCAAACTGTGGTACCCGGACCAGCAACATTGGCATCAGTTGAGAATTTGTTGGAAATGCAAGTTCTCAGGGCCACCCCAGACTATTTAATAAGAAACCCTAGGGATAGGTCCAGCATCCATGTTCTAACCAGCCCTCTGGGTGTTCTAACACACTCAGGTTTGAGAACATTTGCCTCAAGGAGTTTCCACCCCCACCCTTCACCCTCCTGTAAGTTCTTTCCGAGGAGGGATTGTTCTGTTCCAGGCACCACATCCAGCACCCAGCAACGTGCCTGACTCAAAGTGGATATTATGGAAGAAAGACCCATGAGAAAAGTACACATTTGTGCTGGGTCTTGAAGAATGGGTAGGAGTTTTCCAAAGAGCCAGAGGGGCGGAGAGAGATATAATTGTAGACAGAGGGCACGAGGGATAAAAGATAGATAAGTAGCTCAGCAGAGCTAGAATTTCAAATATGTTAGGAGGAGCCTGGTAGGACATGAGGCTGGAGAGACAGATTAAGGGTTTGATTATAGGGGGCAATGAATGCCAGGCTAATGAGCTTGGAATTTATTCTCTAAGCCACATGGTTCTCTACATGGGTTGCACACTAGAATCACCTGAGGAGCTTTAAGAAAACACCAAGACCCAGGCCCCATCCAAGACCAATTAAATCAAAATCTCTAGGCACAGAGCCTTAGTATTGGTATTTTTAAAAACATTTTCTATAAGAGTCTAATGTGCAGCCAGGGCTAAGAATGCCCTGAGGAGTCATCAAAGTTACTTAAGCAGAGGTATGATCTAACCAATATGTGTTTGAGGATGGACAGATTGCAGGATGGGTGATTGGCTAGATGGATGGATGGATGGATAAACAGATGAGTAAGTGGTGGGATGGTGCATAGATGGGTGAGTGGAGGGATTAGTGGGTAGATGGATGGGCGGATGGGTGAGTGGATGGACAGACGGATGGGTAGATGGGTGGGTGGGTAGGCGAATGAATAGATGGGTGGATGGGTGGATGGGTGAGTGGACTGATAGATGGACGAGTGGATGTGAGGATGGATGGGTGTGGGCACAGGCTTGGGGCTGGAGGGACGACCAGTCGGGACTTGTTTGGTCCAGGAGAAGAGAGAGGATGAGGGCCTGGGTGGGTGGCAGTGTGGCCAGAGAAGGCTGGACTTGAGAGATACCTCAACAGAAGAGCAGATAATCTTGGAGACCTCCTGGAAATAGAAAGGAAGGAGGAGGAGGGAAGAGTGCATAGTGATTCCAAGCTTTGGATCTCAGGCAACGGGGTAGATGCTGATGACACGGACTGAGATAAGAACTGCAAGGGAGAAGCAGGTTTGGGCAGAAAACACTTCGCACATCCATTTTTCACTGCTTCCTAGGTGCTGATAGAAACGGAAAGATTAAAGGAGAGATGAGATAATTGAGCTGTTACTTAAATTACTTCAGGGGCTTAGCTCAGTCTGGGATGCAAGAATTGAACAGCATCAGGGAATTAAATGTACAAAATTTATGGAAGTCACAGCCAGAAGGTGAATTTCAGGCGGGGGAGAAAGAAGACGAGTGATCTTGAAAGGGTACGGAAATGCTGGCATGGCTTGGGGACCACTAAATTAGGTCACCTGATCAGAGAGGCTCGGTAAGAGAAAGACAGAAAGGACGGCACTTTCCTTATCAGAAGCTGTGGGCAGGAGGCAATCTGAGCAGTCTCAGACGGGAATTCTGCAGGGAGGCGGGGTGGGGGGGGTGGGGGCGGAGGCAAGGGGGACAAAGTTACCTGAAAGCAACCGAGCACTCATCAAGCTAGAGCGAGCAGCTGCTGGAAAGAAGAGGGCCTTGGTTCTCTCAGCCTTCACTCACCGTGTGTGTGTGTGTGCGTGTGCGTGTGTGCGCGCGCACACGCGCTAGGCACAGCGAGGCACGGAGCATGCAGCAGGGACCACAGCAGGCAAGACCCTGTTCCCACATGCCTTGCACTCACTCGAGTGAGGGGGACACACAAGGGAACAGAAGATGATGACACAGCCTCCTGAACATAGTGATGACAGGGAGCTGTGGAGCAGAGGAGGGCCCCCTTGCCCACATTTGGTGGCGAGGTGGTGGATGGCTTCCCAGAGGAAGCACTTTCTAGCCTGAGAAATAAAGGCTGCAATGGAGTTTGAAAGGGCAGAGCTTTCTAGATCAAGAAATACAGTGAACAAAGGCCAAAAGGGAGGCTGGAAAGATGTGGGTGAATAGAACGTAGTCGACGAGGGGCTCGAGCGTGGTATTCTGGGGTGGAGGTGGGAGTGACAAATGAGGTTGGAGAATTAGGAAGAAGACACATAGCCAAGGTCCCATTAGAGAGTTTGAGCTTTGTTTTCAAGTCAGTGGGGAGCCATTGAAGAGTCTAGATCAGGGGAGTGAAAGGGTAAAATTGAATTTGCAGATTCTCCCTTTGACTACTCTGCGGAGGACAGGCTCAAAGGGGCCAAGAGAGAAGTTGAGGGACTCAAGAAATACCTAGGGAGTGAAAAGACTGGGCCTGGAGATTGACTGGATGGGGTCTGGGATGGGGGTGAGGAGGGAGGAAGAGACGTCCATGATGAATCCCAAGTTTCCTGGGTTGGGTACCTGGGAGAGCAGAGGTGGCATCTGCTAAGCTGAGGGGGAGGAGGGCAGTGGTGAAGTAGGGAAGGAAGGAGAGGAACTCTGTTTGAACATGACAAGTCTAAAGGGCTTCTGGAACACCCAGATGGTGATATCTGGGCTAGAGAAACAAATGGGGAAGCTAGCAGCAAGCACTCGGATGGTATTTGAAACCACCGAATGACACGGAACTCTTTACAAATGCGCATGACCATGTGGCAGAAGAGGCAAATCCTTGGGAGGCCTGGCCAGGCTGCAGCTGGAGAGATGGGGCAGGGCTGGGCTCCTCCCTTCCCTTGGTTACCTAGGATGGGGATAATGGGCTAGCCCATCC